CAGTGGGCCTGGGCAATAGAGCAACACTCCATCTCTTAAAAAAAAAAATATAAATAGCCATCCCTTGGTATCCACAAGAGATTGATTCCAGGACCCCCACAGACACTAAAATCCACAATGCTCAAGTCCCTTACAGTTGGCCCTCTATATCTGTGGGTTCCACACCCCCAACACAGAGTACCAACTGTAATTACATAAAATTTAAAATTCAGCTCCTCTGTTGCATAACGCATATTTCAAACGCTCAACAGCCACATGTGGCTTGTGCCTACCACAGTAAACAGCTCTTATGGAGAGCAATTCCATTAAGAGCAGAAAGTTCTACTTAATCGCATTATCCTAGAACACAGGTTGAAAAGCATGCTAACGTGCCGTCTGGGAATCAGAGAAAAGAATACCATGATAAGGTAAACCACCTCTGCTTTCAAACAAATTTTTGTGTTTTTTCTGCTGAATCCCAGGTACTTAGAAAAGTACCCAGTACATAGTGTGTGCTCAATAAATATTTAAATTTTCTGCTGTTATTTTAAAGACACTATGCATCCCGTTATGCCAACATACAAATTCAAAATGGGCTAAAAGCTCTTGAAGCATGTGCCCACCGTTGAATAAAATTTGTTCTGACACTTCTACGATATGTACTTCTGCCACTTAAAATTGACGAACAATGGTTATTAGACACAGCAGGAAGCACAATTTTCTGGGCAGTAAGCTTTAAAAGGGGTAAAATTTGTGAATGTGTTGTTCAATGTACAGTCCAAAGAACTTTCTGCATAGATCCCATTGTTTTTTTGCTACCCTCGGCATCTCTGTCCTACTGACCTGTTAATGGTATCCAGGTACGGGCAGTGGCGGCTCCTCCGGTCCTCAGAATCCTCACGGCCATTCTTTGCTAAAAGGAAAATCATCATAGGCTTTGAAAATGGGAAACCTGTACTCAGGGTCAACTAACAGTATAAACAAAGAAACAAAGAAATGGAAAAAGCTAATCAAGATAAGTGATTTTACAGGTGATAACAACATCCAAAAAAAGTCCACTAATGGAACAAGCCCCATACTGGGATAATATACTTGGTATACGTATAACCAATGAAAGTTTTGTTTCCATGTTACATAAAAAAATCCCATGCAGCATGAAAGGTATCATGAAATATATCACAGATACTAAGATAAACTGAAGGTAATGTGCAAGTACTGCACAGTTTAAAGAAGATTGTGCATGTACATCCTTAAATCTACCACTAGTTAAATAGCATGAAGGGTCTGAGATTTTACCCTATTTGGAAGCTAACAAGTTAGCCTGCCACAGTTTCATGGTTGCTGATGAAGACATGTGACTACTGGGTCTGAAACAAAAGATAGTTTATTACAGCACTAGCAGTAGCCAGAACATGGCATTAGTGCCAGTTCCCCAAGTCCATTCTCACAAGGCAACATGAAGACAATCTATGCACACAGTGGCTTGCCTCACAGGAGAGAGGAACCCTAAGCTTAGAGAACCTGCATCTTTTATAACCGGCTGTGGGCTTTCCTCCCCTTTGCTTTGTAGGGAGACACCTTCTGTGTCTTCCAACATCGTTCCTTGAGAGGCAGTCTGGTAGCAGTATGTGCAGAAACTCCAGACATCAAAAAAGAATCGTCTCCTGACTTTATTCAGCTTAAAAAGTGGTATATAACCAGTACTTTAGTGCAGGTGCTAACCGCTCAGCCTGTCCACTCTGAACAGTCTGATTCCAGAAATTACAACAGAACACCACACCTTAGAGGGTTTTGTAAAAAACGGAGGGAAGGAACACCTGTAAAATAGTTAGCACTAACGTAGCACTGTACTAAGATAGTTAGCATAGCGTCGCGTTAGACATTCTCTAAAAGGAAGCTGCTACTGTTATTGTTAGAAATATCATAGGTCATCGAGTCTGGATCCCTCCTCCCCCAGCCCCGTCCCAGCAAGGAAATAGCGGAAGGCTAGAGAGAAAAAGGACACGAAGATGGAGCTCGTGCCCGGCGCAGCCCGGCCCCTCGCACCTCGCACCTCCCGCTCAGGCTCCGAGTCCTCGTCGGCCTCACGCTCCCGCTTCACCCGCACCGCTGGGAAGACAGGCGCCGGGGCCTCGCGTGCGCTCGCCGGCTCTACCTCCCGCTTCACGCGCACCGGGCTGCTCCGGGAGCTCGCCGTCTCCGGCTCCCGCTCCCGATCTCGCTCCCGCTTGACGCGACCCGAGCTGCCCCGAGACTCGGACTCGCGCTTCCCGCGGGTGGAACCACGAGACTCCCGCTTGGACCGGCCGGACATCGCCACTACCGGCCGAGCCGCCCAGTACAGGCGCCAGGAACGCTGGAGAGCGCGTAGCACACGGCCAATGAGGAGCGGGCCCAAAGTTACGAGTCGCCACTGGGGACAAATCGCGCGGCAGGAAATTTATGGGAAGTGCCGTTTCTCGCGGAGGGGGGGGGGGGGCCCATGGCCGCTGCGTGCGCACCTGAGAGCCTTCTGCGGGCCTACTGCTACGTTACACGGCGTTTCCAGCTTAAAGAGACAGAAACCTTTTACCGGCGACGGAGTTTTCTCTATAAAAGAAGCTGTGTCGTTAGGCCCCAAATTTCTTCAAGATAATTTGTGCCTCGACAGAAAGACAAATCTCGCATGTTCTCACTCATATGTGGGAACTAAATATTAAAAATGATCTCATGGATGGGACTGCAAATTAGTGCAACCTCTGTGGAAAAGAATTTGGAGATACCTCAAAGAGCTAAAAACAGAAATACCATTCAATCCAGCAATAGCATTATTAGGCATTTACCCAAAAGAGCAAAAGACATTCTATAATAAAGACATCTGCACTGCAATGTTTATAGCAGCACAATTCACTATTGCAAGGATGTGGAAACAACCCAAGTGCCCGTAAATCCACGAGTGGATTATTAAAATTTGGTATATGTATACAATGGGATATTACTCAATTATAAGAAATGACAGTGATCTAGCACCTCTCATATCTTCCTGGATAGAGCTTGAGCCCATTATCCGAAGTGAGGTATCACAAGATCTGAAGAATGGGCTCCACATGTACTCGCCAGGAAATTGGCGCTGACTGATCAACACTATGGTGCTTACACAGTAGTAATATTCTCCAGGGATTAGGGGTTGGGGGGCGGGTAAACTCACAATTAATGGACCCAGTGAGCATTGTAGAGGGGAAGGGCATGCCTCTAACCCTCGCTTGGGCGAGGCAAAGACATAAAATGTAACCAAAATGTTTGTACCCTAATATCGTGAAATAAAAAAACGATCTCATGGAGACAGAGTAGAATGACAGTTACTAGAGGCTGGAAAGGGTATCAGGGAGACGGGATGAAGTGGGGATGGTTTATGGGTGCAAAATTATAGTTAGACGAAATGAACAATATTTGATAGCACAACAGTGACTATAATCAACAATAAGTTAGGGTATACTTTTACAGAAATAGAAGTGGCCGGGTGTGGTGGCTCACGCCAGTAATCCCAGCACCCTGGGAGGCTGAGATGGGAGGATCGCTTGAGCTCATGAGTTCCAGACCAGCCTGAG